GGTAGGTTGTTGTGCTGAGGGGGGTGTATTCCTCTTCAGAGGAGGAGGGGTCCAAAGAGGAGGGGGAGATGAGGAAGCAGGAGCCGGAGGAGCGGGTGGGGCGCAGGGAGAGGTAGGTTGGTGTGAGGGGGGAGTCCTCAGAAGAAGAGGAGGAGGGAATGGTGAAGATGGGGATCGGGTCCGGGCGAGGCGGCAGCGGTAGGGAAAGGATGGGTTTGCCGGGGGTTTCGATTTGCAGCTGGATGGTGGGGAGGAAGGGGGTTGCGGCGGCGTCGTAGGGGGGCGGGGCCGTCATGATGGAGTGGCTGTCGGAGTTGGGGTCGGGCCGTCCGGTGGAAGTGGATGAGGTGGATAGGCGATGGGACGAGGAGAAGGGGTCGTCCGGGAGGGTGTTGTAAGGCGGAGAGGGGTAGATTTGGGATGCCATCTTGGAGTTGATGACTTGAGGTTTTTGGGTTGTTAAGATGAATCGATGTTGGGTTGGATGACGTTTCTGTAGCTATGTGTTGCGATATTCCTGATGATCTAACCCTTCGATGTTGCTGACCGCGATAATGATGAACAAAACAACAAATTAAGCACTACACCCTGATGAAGAAACCAAACCCCAAACCCAGAAAACATCCCAACACTTATACATCCCCATCCATCGCGCCCTCCTCGCCCAACCTTTCCCCAGCCAATCACGCCACAAAGCGAAGGATACGGCACCCAGGCACAAACCGCAACCCATTGCGCCAGTCACGGGGCGGTGTTAAGACCCCATTGGCAGCAATGTCTTTCAACACTGAGCGCGGGACCATGCGCGTGGCGCTGCACCTGCCGCATGGCAACTTGACGTTGAGACAGACGGGAGAGTGTGCCCCACATTTCCCTCAATGCGAGGAATACGAAAAGTGGGGCACTTCTCGGTGCTGCTTCCGGCTGCGTGCCGTGGCTGTGACCCGGCAGGCGTTCCGTGGGGCATTCTGCCGACCGGATTGTGACGAATCGGAGACTGGTTGTATGTTGCTTACTTTTGGTGTCTGATTTACAGGTATCTGGTCATCATGTGAAGCTTAAGGGGCAGACGGGGGATTACGGCGAGGAAGAATCTCATGATGCTTGGCGAGGCGAGTTTTCATCGAGGGACTCAATGTAATCTCTTTAAAATGAAGTGGTATAAACAGGAGCTTTATGGGATGATATTTCTCAACATCACAAACATCGACCGCTTCTCACCCTTTCACGACCACCTAATTAAATATCGTCCTACCAAAGCACCCAGCATCCTCGTCCAACTGTGCCTCCACCCAAAACGGCCAAGCATTATACTGTCGATGCTCCGCGTCTACCTTTCGATTCAGATACCTCAACCACTTGCCAATGCCCTGCCACGCATCATGCTTGTCGGTCTGCGGCTGCTTCTCCGGCTCCTTCGTCCGACACTTGTGTTCCATCTCAGTAATTGTTGCCATGATCGACTTCACCGAGATCCAGTGCGTCGCCAGCAATATCCCCAGCTGGTTGGACGGGTCGATGACTCGCTGGAAGTGATCGTGCGGCAGCATCATCCACCACGTGTAATGCTGTCTCAGCGCCTCATACGCTTTTCAATGTTAGCACCATCCTGTTCAAAGTAATCCGCGAAAGGGGAAGTATTACCATCAACCGCCCCCACATACAGCTTCTCCGCCATCGCCAGCAACTTCTCCCAATACTGTCCTTCCACTTCCCGCCCCTCAGCTTTACACAGCGGTTCCAACCCCTTAATCCCTCTGACCGCTGCATCAACCCATTCTTTCTCAACCAGCTTTAACCCCTCCAAATGTGGCCTCAACAGCTCGGCAGGCGCGTCCCCTAGATACTCTCCAAAGATCAACTTCGCCCCCTTGATATACATCTGAATCGCCACGATGACAATCCCCCTCACAAACGTCATATATTCCACCATGCCATCGTCCAACAGCACACTTTGAAACGTCAACGCAAAGCACGTCGCCATGAGCGCGTTCCCCTCCTCGAACGTATTCGCCCTGGGTGCCTCCGCCAGCGCTCTCTTCACGGCCTTTATGGCCTTCAAGCGATGGGCCATAGCGGGCTCGATCAGCGAGGGATCGGAGCCGATGAGTTGGCTCGCAGAATAGCCAAGGATGGAATGCATCAGATAGTCGTATTTCTGGGAGAGACAAGGGATCTCGTGCGTCCAGAGATGCTCGCTGCCGAGGGGATGGTGCGGGTAGCATTGGATGAGGAAGTGTTGGAAAAAGCGCATGTCCTGGAGGGAGAAGAGGGGGATTTGATGCTGCGGTTGGTGAACTACGACCGGCGCGGTGGGATACTCGCATTTGAGACCGGTTTTGACGCAGTGGCCGCAGGCAGGACGAGACTCTTGACACTGAGACCGGTGTCAGTAGGTGAGGTCGTAGATGAGGAAGGGGTAAAGGCAAACCTTGATCCGTCTTCGTTTGCAGTTAAAACAACCGCGGCGGCTTTTGGTGTGCCCTCGACGCTCCAGTCTTGTCCTTTGGGCGTGCGTCGCACCGCCGCTGGAGCTCCCAGCGGGACTTACACCCGTTCTTGGCACGAGAGCTTGGGAACCGGACCCGGAATCAAGGGTTTGTGAAGTCAAATCCGCCAGCGGGTTGCTCGACCCAGAGCTTTCATCGCCAAAGTAATCAGCGGCGTCGTCTTGTTGATCGAGAAAAGCGCCGTAGTCGAAATCAGGTGATGCCATCGTCAGGTCCATGTCGTCGGGCGGGCCCGAGAGCATCGCGAGAGTAGACAATTGTGCATTCATTGTGTTATCCATGGCGCCAGTCAGATTCTGCTATCTCGCCATTCAATGAGAGGAGCGAAAAGCAGAAGCATAAAGCCCGCCCGCGTCTGAGGAATAAGAGGTCGATTGTAAAGCTATCACGTGCGACACCGTTGTCGATCTCAGGGTGTGCCAAGCCTCTCCGCGCCTCGATGAGGGGCAGTGCTCTGCCACCTCCTAGAGAGAAACAAAAAAAACGACGATAAGGCTTCTCGCGGCAGCCGTGTCGGTGACGTTTCTGGCCTGTTCGAGGACGAAGCTAGGGACCTGCTATTTGTTGAGATGGGAAAGTTGCTGGTCAAGGGTACGCGCATAGCTCGCCGTCGACATTTATGACGTTCGATCGTTCCATGGTCACGGAGAGAGTCGGGGGTCGGTGAGTCTCAGTCGTTTGTCCCCAGGACCTAGCCGGGCCGGGCACTGCCGCTCCCAGCGTTGCTTCGCGGGATATCGGCATGCCCTATGCTCGTTGGGGTCAGAGTCGGGTCATATTTCCCTCCGTGTCAAAGCGGTCGCCAGCAGCTGGCACCACTTGGCGGAAACATCTCCTCCAACCAGTTTGATATCATCGGCCGGTCAACTTTGTCGATCCTGTGGCATTGCTTGTTGTTTTTGAGCTTGAATTCCAGTTTCGATTTGATGAAGAAGTTGTCGAGAAGAGAAGGGCTTTGGCGCGACACCCTGGGGCTGGGGAAATGAACTCGGCCTGTCACTGGTTGGCCCACACCTAGCAGGCCCAGACGGGTGTCAATCTCGGGCACGCTTGCCAGTCACTCTTTCCTCATCAGCTTGAACTCCCAGTTAACCCACAACTCACCGTCATGGCGGTCGACTGCGGGTGTCTTGATCTTCACAGGTTGGACTTCCGAGGAGTCAGCCACCCTGAGCGCCAAAATTCGCAAGTATACCTACCTACGTACCCAGGCAATCCCCCCTTGCAATCTACTTCAAAATCTTCAACTTGCCCCTTTCGACCATTTTTAACTTCATCGTCCCCAGACAACAACCTCATACATGCCAGGGCAACACAGCATTCAAGTTAAACAACTTTTCAACCAAGAACTCGTAAGAGGACTCGGTCGGGTGACCCTCACCAACCCGTCCTCAGCTTACCTGAAAGGCAAGTCGCGACACCTGGCGGCCATCAGCTCACTGGCGTCGTGCCCAAGTGGCCAGGTACTCAGTTTCCACGTAGGTACTGACCGCAATGCGGATATCAACTACATTACACTACTAGAGTTGAACCTGAGTTGTGGTCAGCTGTTGATTAGCGGACTACGGCACCATAACAAGTCAAACGGGAAAGCTCCTCGTTTCCTCTGAGTCCCCGAGTGCTAAAGTCAACGTACAGGTCTTTGGTTATTACGATAGTGACGAGCTCGGGTACAGTTGCTCAGATGACGTGTCCTGACAGTGACTGGTGTCGCGCTGGGCTGCAGATTTTCACGTACCCTGTATTGACCCCCAAGGTTGACCGTGCGATACGCATCACTGCACACCCTGTCATGACGATGTACGCATGGCCCCCGTTGAACTTCAAGCAACCTTCATCGTGGACTTATCGTGACCGTGTTTAATCACGCATGATGAAGCTTGTTGTGACCCCTACCTGCAGGGCGAGCTTCAACAGATGATGCTTTCCCCTCGCCAACCCTTTGTCTCGATCCAAGAGGTTTCGGGAGAGCTATGCCACATTTGACATCTGTAGTGCTTTTAAGTGATCTCCGTGACCACACTAGATGAAGATGATATGCGAGCTCAGGAGTTGGTCAACAATACCGAAGAGGGCTGTGGCGACATCATTGCAGCACAACACCGGCCCCAAGCGTATATCATCTCAGAAGTAAATACTTCCAGGCTCGACAGTGCTAACCTGGCATCTTTATCCAGTCGTACGCCAAGTTACTCACCAACGTCAAACAAGCACTCCTGTCACTGCAAGCCACCTGCCTCAAAGAAAAGCACCACCCCCCTCAGTCACCACAACACCATCCACAACCTCAACTTAAGATTACCGCCATTCCCCCACAGGAACCGCTCTCACACAACGTCCCACAAGACGCGGCTCCCCGACGTTCTTCAACCCACAGACACAGACACAGACCCACCATCACCAACCTCCCTCATCCACAACGCCTGACTCGCACCACCTCCCAACCATCCACCCACAAGCAAGGAAAACACTCACCAAACCATCAACCAAGGCGAGATGGCCGAGCGGTCTAAGGCGCTACGTTAAGGATTTTCCTTAATACCATCATGGTTCTTCATGATTCCGTAGTCCGAAAGGGCGTGGGTTCGAATCCCACTCTCGTCAACGCATTCATTGGAATAGCATCAAGTGCTTCCAGGAGTTCATTTTTGCGTCTTTGTCGGTCACGAGGGTCTGGAAGATGCCTTGGACTTCTCTTTTTGGCGGGTGCTGACAATTTATTGGCTGTGCACTGTTGTGGAGGGTTGATGTTGGTCAAGCCCTGAGCCCTACTACCTACCTCAGGTAACATTGTGATATTCATGGATATCGAGGACCATCGCACCTCGAGCGGAAAGTGTATGGCTGTTGTCATTTGGTAGCCACATCTGTCCGCCTCCACAGTATCACCAGAGGAGAGATTGTGCGATCGCTCAATATCGCGCGACTGCTGGCTGATATGCGGAGGCAAATGCAGGGCGTTAGACAAGTTGGAATTTAGCGACCGTCTCAGCACCACCGTGACATTGTTGCTTCTTTTCCTGGTCTTCGGAACCGAGGCTTTTCCCCGAGGCTGGCTGTCTCTCGGCGCGAGTAGATGGATGGATGCTCGGCTGTGAGTCCCCTCCATACCTCTATTCAAGGGAGCCATATTCCAAACCATCAGGCATCTCCGGACGAACAGTCTGCCTCCGTCCGCTCTGGTGGAACTCAGACCCGCAACCGGTGTCCTGCTTTCGGTGCCAGCGGTTGCGGTTGCGGTTGCGGTTGCAGAGGCTCCGATGGATGGTCTGACCAGTTGCAATATGCCGGTGTTGCTTTGCTGTTTCCTGGCGGCCGCGACCTGTCGCCGTGTAACCAGATCACCCACAACACCCAGCACATCATTTCCATTTCAGATCCGCTGCGCCGTCGACTCACCTCCAAAGCCCCATCACCGCAGCGCGGGTAAATCCAACTTGAGCATTCTAGATCCCATGCCCCCTCGCTCGGCAATTTAGGCCTTGGCCAGCACCCCACCTCACCCCTCGGAACGTCTGGACGTGCAACAAGGCGCGGTCTCGGGTCGAGATGAACAGCGTGATTAAGAACCTGCAAACTATATTGGGTAGCACACAAACCCGGAATTTCTCTCGCTGCCACCTCTCACTCACCACTCCGCCCTTCTGCCGTCTTTCCTGGTCCAGTCCGTCACCGGACCACTCAGACCAAACCTGGTGGAGGACGTGTTGATTCCACGTGTTGACAGCAGCCGGCCAACTATACCGTGCCCCCTCATAATGGTCTTCTTGGCGGTGCGGAGATATCGACCATGTAAACACACTTCCAATGTTCCTCAAATCAACCGGCGGCATCACAGCAATGAGAAACGATTAGTTGCGCGGGCGTGAAATCTCACGGGTGCAAGAACAACAGCTGCGACACTCCATCGGGCCGTTCAACGAATCATCTGCGAAACATGAAGTTCGGCGCGCTTGTCCAATAAGGTTGCGATCTAGTCTGGTGTGAAGTCGCTAAGGGGCCAAACAGAGGCGACGGTGTCGTTCCGGTCGTTCCTCAAAGGGCACCTCCACCAGACGGTTGCAAATCGATAGACAAACTCATGGCGCCCGGCTAGGCACACCGTTTTCTCGCCGGAGGATTGCCCGGTTGCTGCGCACCAAAATGGACCCCAGATGCAAACTGCTTGCCGTTTGTTTGTTTGTTTGTTTGTTTCTTCCTTCCGAGGCAAGGGAGGTTGGGGCTCAGCAAGTCGTGGAAACTTCCTATCTTCGCACTCCACCACCAGGTGCGGTCTAGATCCAGGAAACGGGCCCCGACCAGGATGCCAAAAAGGGCATCGTTGCTTGCGCGTCGAAGCCAGAGAAGAAAGAAAACAAGCTTCTTGGCTCCATTCTCAGACAGGGGCAGCGAGTGTGCTCTCGCCCCGTGGCGACGGATGCAATTTCGCTTGCTCGTTTCATCGCCCTGGACCGCGCCTGTCAAGGCTCCCGTCGAGCCCAGCGACGGTGGGAACCAAAACGTGGTGCGGGTGATCGCGATAGCGCGGGGTTCTCAAACAGCGCTAGAGAATGGCATGGAGGGGTCAACGACACTGAAGAAGTGTGACCCTCCGTGGGCGAACGAAAACGTCAAGACACATCGCATCGATCGCGGCGATGGGCGCAGCGGACTGGCGACACCCTTTTCCAACCGAGCTTCCATTACACAGTATGTTCTGACTGGGAGCGATTGTCCGAAGCGCTCTGGCGAATGGAGGGCGTTGCGCTCGATTTCTTCTTTTCAGGGGTCGTCAAGCCACCTTGCTTCAGCGTGTCGAAAAGGGTTACGGGCAGGATTTGCCCGCCAACGTCCCGCCATCGAAAAAAAGCGCGATGGCCGGGTCCCCGCTCGGAACTCTGGACGGACGCGGCGGAAAGGGGATCGCGTTGGCACGAGCGTCGGTGGCTAGTCCGTTTTCTGCGCGATCCGTCTGCCGACGGCGCCGTGTGCCTGCAGAGAACGAGGGGTAAAGAGCGCCGCGCAGGTTTTTTTTTTCTCGCAATGGTCGCTGCAGTGCACCGTACCTGCATGGGCAAGGCGCGACGCAATTGGCGAGACGCCGTGATGGTGTGGTGACATGCCCACCTGTGTCCGGCCGCCGCGAACTGAGCAAGGGACGGCGGGCTGACGGTGGATCAATCAGCTTGGAAAAGTTCCTGGATGCCCCACTACCGCGCCGAACAAGTGGTGCCAGCGGTAACTGATTCAGCGCCATCCCGGAGTGGAGCTGTGATTCGCCCCGGTCAACCTCGCGCTCAAACCTTGGTTGTGAGCGGGCCTGGCTTTCCCAACCTCGTCTCTTCGATGCGCTCAAGCATCGCGCGTGTAAACCTCAACCGTCTGTAGCGCTCTTCAGTAGCATAGCGGCAAGATTAGTCTAGACGCTACTGAAAGAGGTGATTCGCCTCCGGCTTCTCCGTTCGCTGGTCCTAGGAAGCAGACAGGTGGAGTGCTAGGTGGGGATAGCATCCATCATCCGAACTCCGAGCTTGCGTAGTCTGGCCGGGCGGCGGGGCCGAGGATGGGCAGCAGGGAAGAGGAGAGCTGTCCAAGGCCGAGCTACCCTGCTGCCAGCTGTCGCGGCTCCCAGGTTTGCTGAGCTGTCTCCTCAGCTCAGGTCCTGGTCTGGCTGCCTGGGTCGCGTCCAGCCACGACGCCTTGCCGCAAAATACGAGCGAGAGGCTCAATTTGAGGGGTTCTGTGGCTGCAGTGAGAGTAAGCTCTATTCAAGCTCTGAATCGCCGTGCCCGGAATATTTCCCGGGTGGCGGGTCATAGTGGGTGGGAGACGGTGGGCGATGACACTGGAGAGAATCGATTTATCCAGATGTAAAAATATGTTGATTCCCAAATCGACGACTGCGGTCAGCGATCCTTCTGGAGGTCTTCTCGTCCAAACTGCCCCTGCCCAGCCAGCTTCCGATTCGTCAGCGTGTAAGCGGAGTGGGTCTGCCCACCCCTGTTGATCACCCCAGCACAGCATCCCGTCCACACGGTTGTCGTGCCTGGATCGCTCTTGTCATTCTCCCGCCCACTGCCAGCCCGGAGCGCACCCCCTCCTCGACCCCAGTCGCCGCGCACAACGAACGACTGCACACAAGGCCGGCCGGTGACCGCTTTCTTTAAATCCCGTCTCACCCACGCTCGGATCTGCAGCATCTGCTTCTCTTTCCCGCTTCACCCTCACCTTCATCCCGTCTCTGGTCTTCGGCCTTTTCCTTCATTTTTCCTCTCTGTTTTCTCGCCTAGCCTGGTTGCCAGCTTCGACGCACAGCCGTCTTGAGTGTCTCTCGTCTCCAGTCTCATCAACGACCTACCCCGTCAAGGCGCCACAGGTCTCTCGGTCTCGACACGCATCACTCCTTCTTGCGACCTTTGACAGGCGAACAACAGCATCTCAAGGTCCCACGGCACCTCGTTCTTTCATCCGGTGTTTTCTAGCACAAAGACTTTGTCCCCTCGTGCTACCCAACACGCATTTCACTCTTTCACGCTTGTCGTGCTGGCAACTTGAACCGCTCCTTCCACTTCACGGCCAAAGAAACCAACACAAAGAGACCCGCACAGCAACTTTGCTCTAAATATCGCAATCCAGCAGTGAGGACTCGCCCGCGATATCTCCCAACAACTGCAAAAATCGTTCGCAGAAATCCAACCACCAGCACCATGCTCTCCAAAACCCTCCTCGCTCTGGCTGCGGCCAGCTTGATCCAGGACGTCATCGCCCTCGGTCCCCGCCAGCACAACCATCAGCGCCTCCACGAGAAGCGCGCCATCGTCACTGAGGTCGTTACCGTGACCGACATCGTCTATGTTACCCTCTACGAGGACCAGGCCACATCCGTTAGCGCCAAGAAGTTCTACACTAAGAAGGGCAGAGTGTCTAAGAGCGCCAAACCATCTGTCGCCGCATCGAGCGCCGCCGCTCCTTCTCCGGTTATTTCACTTGAGGCTCTTCCCCGCCCCTCTGCTCCGGTGGCTGTTCCTGCCGCTCCTGCTCCGGCTCCGACAATTGAGGTCCCGGTCGTCGACCCCGTCCCCGTTGTCGAGCCTGTTCCTGCCAACCCCGTGCCTGCCGATCCCGCTCCCGCCACGCCTCCTAGCAGCGGCGCTCCCTCTGGCGCTCGCGGACGCGGCCTCGCCTTCAATGATCCCAACCTTCTGGGCCGTTTCCTTGGCGGCGGTTCTCACATCTCGTGGACCTACAACTGGGCGCAGACCGACGATTCCAACACCGGCCTTGAGTTTGTCCCCATGTGCTGGGGCATCACCAAGGGCTTCCCCGCGACATGGGCCTCCAACGCTCAGAAGATGATCAATGCTGGCTCCAAGAATCTGTTCAGCTTCAATGAGCCTGATCATGCCGGGCAGGCTAACCTCTCGCCTGAGCAAGCTGCCAAGTCTCATATCGAGTTGATGAACCCCTTCGCGGGCAAGGCTCGCATTGGCGCTCCGTCCATCACCAACAGCGGCGCCTCTAACCAAGGAGTCGGCTGGCTCCAGAAGTGGGTTGATGCGTGTGCTGGCCAGTGCGTCTACGACTTTGTCAACATCCACATCTACGGTTACGATACCAACACCTTC